AAAAAAAAAAACCCGGAAAAAAAACAAATTTGCAATAGATTTGGAAAAAAAAAAAAAAATCCATTAAATTGACCTTTTTTTTTTTTTTTTTTTTTTTTCTCTCTCTGTCTCTCTCAATAGTTTTGTTGTTACACTTTATCAGAGAAGAATCACGCCACCATGGAAATAGAATCAGACGTTCCCCATATCCCTAATCATAAGTTATCGGAGAAGGAGTTTTTACTTACTACGTCAATCTCAGCCGAAGAAAGAAAGAAGATTGTGGATGATTTGGTACATGCAGTCAAAAGCGATCATCTTGCTCCATACTACAAGTATTTACACGAACAAGTAAAGGACTTCCCCTTTGATGAAAGTCTCCACCAAGAGCTCGTTGCAAAGAATGAGGAGGAGATTAACGAATTGAAGCTGCAGATTAAAGAGGCTGAAGGCGAAGAGGAAACCGAATTGGATGTTGTTACCACGACGACAAAATTGGCTGAGTACTATACAAAAATCATTGATAGAGCCAACGCTACGGAAACGTTGAACAGAGCGGTGGAATTGACATCTGATACTGGGAAAAAGATTGACAATTTGTTGACCTTGACCCGACTTGATTTTTTCTTCAATGATTTACCACAAGTTCGTAAGGACCTTGACCAAGTGTCTGTTCTCATTGAAAAGGGTGGTGACTGGGAACGTCGTAATAGGTTCAAGGCTTACAATGGAATTTATTTGCTTGCCACCAGAAACTTTTCCGAAGCATCAAAGCTACTCACAGATTCGTTGGCCACTTTTACATCGACCGAATTGTGCACATATGAACAAATTGCACATTATGCTATAGTCGCGGGTGTGATTTCATTGGACAGAGTTGACTTGAAGGAAAAGATCATTGATTCACCAGAAATCTTGTCGATCTACTCATCAGCCCCAGAGTTGGAGCCTTTACTCAACTTGACAAACTCTTTATACACATGCCAGTACAACTGCTTGTTTGACTACCTTTTACAATCGTATGACCAGTTGCTATTGCCAAATAAGTATTTGCATGCTCATGCAAATTATTTCCTTCGAGAAATGAGATGCAAAGCTTATGGTCAATTGTTGGAGAGTTACAAGTCCTTGTCGTTGAAGTCAATGGCTGCCAACTTCAATATCAGTGAAGATTTCTTGGACCAGGATTTATGCAGGTTCATTCCAAACAAAAAGCTCAATTGTGTTATTGACAAGGTTAATGGAATTATAGAAACAAACAGACCCGACAACAAGAATAACCAATATCATTTGTTGATCAAGCAAGGTGACACTTTACTTACCAAGTTGCAAAAATATGGGGCTGCTGTGAAGTTGAGTGGAGCTGAGAGAGTTGTATAGGAATAATGTAGTTGAGTTATATTATACATAGAGAGTCAATTGATACGAAAAACTCACTCAACGCCTTGAAGGAATCCAAGCAAGAGCAAACCAATTTGAGTGAACGTCTACAGGATGCAAGAAGAAAGTGTGACGAATACGAGATTGTTCAAGCATCGAAAAGAGCCAAATTTGAAGCTGAAAGCCAAACACTCTTTAAAGAAATTAGGAGCTTGGAAGTTGCAAATAAGCAACTAGAAACTGAACTTGGAGATTCCTTCAAATTTTTAAAAGACACTGCACATTTCAAAAAGCGCAAGGCACGAACTAGTACACCTAATAAGTAGAATCTAATGTATTTTGTACCCATCACATAGAATAAATTGGCATTACGGCCTTTGTCGCATCCAATATGATAACATTGTTCATAGGCGTGTTGTTTTTACTCAAGAATCGTATAACCTCTTGGGCCAAAGTTCCACCTAATACAGCAGCTGTCGGCGAAAATTCAGCAAATGCTTGTTGACTCAATTTCTTGATGTCATCCTCCGAAAACGACGACAAAGGTAGGTTCAAAGTCTTGTATGTTTCTTTCACCTTTTCCGTCAATAGATCGATATCGACTTCGTCACTAGGCTTCGAGGGCCTGGAGATGTCAAATAAAGCAAAGATGATCGGCAACACGCTACACCTGCGCAACTCTCTCTGGCTTGCGTACTTTGCGATTTCCTGTGAGCGGAATACATGTTCAAGCGGGGAAAACACATCCTCAACAGTGACCACATCAACGTGCTTTTCACGATCAGGCTTGACTGCAGTTATTTTTTTGTTTCGTGCCATCTCCACGTTCACTTTCCGTGGTTTTGAACTTTTATTGTATTCGTTGTAGGACGTGTGTTGGATGAGGTCGGCTATGATGTAACCAAAATATCCATGCATCCCACTTACGTGGAGTGGAATGTTCAACTTTCTCGTGATTTCATTAAGTCGAAAGATTTGGGGCTTACTAATCTCCGTAGCAACAACAAAATCGAATTTTTTGAAATAGTTAGGGTTTGAAAGTGCATCATCCAAGTGCGTCGTGTTGATACTCAAATCAACCTTGGTGTTTAATTCCTTGATATTGTCAACCACCAATGGCAATTTCAACTGTCCCACTATAGACAAATCATTTGGCAAAAAGAATTGGGCTGTGAAGTCTTCCTCTTTAACAACGGAGCTGTCAAGAATCTCTATTGAGTTCAATCCACCCAAGACCAAGTTTTTGACACATTCAGTCCCCACTGCTCCGAGATTTATGACTAAGATTTTCGTTGACCGTAGTCTCAACTGGGTTGCCATCCCCCACAATCTGATTTGCCTGTCGTACAATGCAATCTCATCTATCAAAATGTCAGTAATCAGGGAGTCCGAGTATATAAAAGTAACCGCTAATACATACCTGCGGTTAATTCTGTCTCAGTGGTCATATCGTTTTCAATGTGTGATCCAGGTGGTGTTGAAAATGCTTTCTGCGAAGAGATCGCGTAAATCAGTAAAATCATCAACAAACACTTCGGCTCAGCGATGTACAATCATAAACGTGCATTCTTATATACTAACTACAGAGCTGTTTCTCGCGAGTCTTTCAACTCCCGATTGATGTTAATTGGCAAAATCAAGCATTCTGTGTTGGGGAGACCATTCTCGCAAAGATCACTGTAGTAGAGAAGGTACATTGGCATATACCTGTCCACAAACAGTTTCACCTCCTCGTCACACATTCCCTGGCCTTTCAAAGCAATCAAAGCATGTTCTTGCTCAATCCTCCATTTGTAAACATTCTCGACTGTGTCAGTTTGTAGAATAACAAAGTGTGTAAACATTTCCCAAATAGAGGAATACTTTGAAAGCCGTAAGTTTATATCCTGCAATTGGTATAGTCTGTGACGTTGTAAGATTGAGTCAACTGGGCTTGTGAAGTATCGTATGCTCAACAAATTCTGGTCCAATGGCATGAAACCATTGAACCAACCTTCACAAATCACGACATCGACTGGTTCGTTGAGAGTGCACCCCTCCGTACTCAGGCGATCTCCCAAGCCGCCAAACGCCGATTTGTCATAGAAAGGAATTGTTACAGGCACCCAATCATTTTTGTAGTTGTTACAAATCCGGTGGAGAACCGATTGTAACAAACTCAAATCGTGCGTTCCTGGTAGACCTCTTCCGAAAAGTAGCTTATTGTCATCTTGTGCTGCTTCCTGGGTTACCTTCTCTTGCTCTGAGCGTTTGAGATAAAAATCATCAACCAGGAACTGAATGAATCTTAGTTTGGGGTAGTTATCTCGTAACGTCTGGGTCAAGTGCGACGCCAAATATGTTTTACCCGAGCCTTGAGGTCCAGAAACACCCACAGTCAACGGTTTCAAGGCATGTTTGAAATCATGAAGGTCGATGGCTTTGGATACAAATTTGATTGATGCCTCAAGTGTTGTCATTGCGTAGTTTGCTTAACAATTATAGTAGGTTTTGGTCCCATAACTGTGAAAAATTCCAAACTACGCACAAGAGCTGTAAGTTACAAAACTCGACTAAAATATATTATTCAACGTCTATAAAGCCTTCAACTGCTTCAACTTGTCTATCAATTGGTCCACATTCTCATCTTTGACACCAGCTTGCCTTCCTGGTGGCTGCTTGTCATACAAACTTATACTCCGATTGATGTGGAAAGATCTCTTTTAACGGAAGCTCATTTCCATTACACTCCGTATGGATTGCAGCCAACTATGGAGCTCAAATCAGCTCCAACATATTACGAAACAAAACGTCTACAACTGGACTATATCACCAATCCATTAAAGAACTCGTATAATGAGTTGATTGGAATCACTGGTACAACAGAGTCGCCGGATACTGGCATATTGACTCATAAGTCCATCCTCCAGTTGAATGCCGCCTGCAAGACTTTGAAAAGAACGAGAGATGAGCTTGCTTCATACAACCATTTTGACTCTCCAGAGATTCAGGAAAAAATTGGAAGAAGAGAGAGGGAAATGAGACTTGCAGTTTCCAAAATCTTTGATGATCTAGATCATGCACAGCAAAGAATAGACAGTGGCAGCAAATGGTATACAAGAAAGAATGAACAGGTGGAACAATTAGAGTCGTCAATAGAGGAAAAAGAACGCGAGATTTCAGAATTTCGGAATACCCTCGATTCAAAAGAGAAAAAGTCATACGTACTGAATCAAGTGAAGATATGGGAGCTAGAAAAACAGATTAAGCAGTTCATTTCACGAATTAAATCGAAAGATGACGAAAGAAACTTCACTAATAAGGAGTAGAAAAACTCACTCAACGCCTTGAAGGAATCCAAGCAAGAGCAAACCAATTTGAGTGAACGTCTACAGGATGCAAGAAGAAAGTGTGACGAATACGAGATTGTTCAAGCATCGAAAAGAGCCAAATTTGAAGCTGAAAGCCAAACACTCTTTAAAGAAATTAGGAGCTTGGAAGTTGCAAATAAGCAACTAGAAACTGAACTTGGAGATTCCTTCAAATTTTTAAAAGACACTGCACATTTCAAAAAGCGCAAGGCACGAACTAGTACACCTAATAAGTAGAATCTAATGTATTTTGTACCCATCACATAGAATAAATTGGCATTACGGCCTTTGTCGCATCCAATATGATAACATTGTTCATAGGCGTGTTGTTTTTACTCAAGAATCGTATAACCTCTTGGGCCAAAGTTCCACCTAATACAGCAGCTGTCGGCGAAAATTCAGCAAATGCTTGTTGACTCAATTTCTTGATGTCATCCTCCGAAAACGACGACAAAGGTAGGTTCAAAGTCCTGTATGTTTCTTTCACCTTTTCCGTCAATAGATCGATATCGACTTCGTCACTAGGCTTCGAGGGCCTGGAGATGTCAAATAAAGCAAAGATGATCGGCAACACGCTACACCTGCGCAACTCTCTCTGGCTTGCGTACTTTGCGATTTCCTGTGAGCGGAATACATGTTCAAGCGGGGAAAACACATCCTCAACAGTGACCACATCAACGTGCTTTTCACGATCAGGCTTGACTGCAGTTATTTTTTTGTTTCGTGCCATCTCCACGTTCACTTTCCGTGGTTTTGAACTTTTATTGTATTCGTTGTAGGACGTGTGTTGGATGAGGTCGGCTATGATGTAACCAAAATATCCATGCATCCCACTTACGTGGAGTGGAATGTTCAACTTTCTCGTGATTTCATTAAGTCGAAAGATTTGGGGCTTACTAATCTCCGTAGCAACAACAAAATCGAATTTTTTGAAATAGTTAGGGTTTGAAAGTGCATCATCCAAGTGCGTCGTGTTGATACTCAAATCAACCTTGGTGTTTAATTCCTTGATATTGTCAACCACCAATGGCAATTTCAACTGTCCCACTATAGACAAATCATTTGGCAAAAAGAATTGGGCTGTGAAGTCTTCCTCTTTAACAACGGAGCTGTCAAGAATCTCTATTGAGTTCAATCCACCCAAGACCAAGTTTTTGACACATTCAGTCCCCACTGCTCCGAGATTTATGACTAAGATTTTCGTTGACCGTAGTCTCAACTGGGTTGCCATCCCCCACAATCTGATTTGCCTGTCGTACAACGCAATCTCATCTATCAAAATGTCAGTAATCAGGGAGTCCGAGTATATAAAAGTAACCGCTGATACATACCTGCGGTTAATTCTGTCTCAGTGGTCATATCGTTTTCAATGTGTGAACCAGGTGGTGATGAAAATGCTTTCTGCGAAGAGATCGCGTAAATCAGTAAAATCATCAACAAACACTTCGGCTCAGCGATGTACAATCATAAACGTGCATTCTTATATACTAACTACAGAGCTGTTTCTCGCGAGTCTTTCAACTCCCGATTGATGTTAATTGGCAAAATCAAGCATTCTGTGTTGGGGAGACCATTCTCGCAAAGATCACTGTAGTAGAGAAGGTACATTGGCATATACCTGTCCACAAACAGTTTCACCTCCTCGTCACACATTCCCTGGCCTTTCAAAGCAATCAAAGCATGTTCTTGCTCAATCCTCCATTTGTAAACATTCTCGACTGTGTCAGTTTGTAGAATAACAAAGTGTGTAAACATTTCCCAAATAGAGGAATACTTTGAAAGCCGTAAGTTTATATCCTGCAATTGGTATAGTCTGTGACGTTGTAAGATTGAGTCAACTGGGCTTGTGAAGTATCGTATGCTCAACAAATTCTGGTCCAATGGCATGAAACCATTGAACCAACCTTCACAAATCACGACATCGACTGGTTCGTTGAGAGTGCACCCCTCCGTACTCAGGCGATCTCCCAAGCCGCCAAACGCCGATTTGTCATAGAAAGGAATTGTTACAGGCACCCAATCATTTTTGTAGTTGTTACAAATCCGGTGGAGAACCGATTGTAACAAACTCAAATCGTGCGTTCCTGGTAGACCTCTTCCGAAAAGTAGCTTATTGTCATCTTGTGCTGCTTCCTGGGTTACCTTCTCTTGCTCTGAGCGTTTGAGATAAAAATCATCAACCAGGAACTGAATGAATCTTAGTTTGGGGTAGTTATCTCGTAACGTCTGGGTCAAGTGCGACGCCAAATATGTTTTACCCGAGCCTTGAGGTCCAGAAACACCCACAGTCAACGGTTTCAAGGCATGTTTGAAATCATGAAGGTCGATGGCTTTGGATACAAATTTGATTGATGCCTCAAGTGTTGTCATTGCGTAGTTTGCTTAACAATTATAGTAGGTTTTGGTCCCATAACTGTGAAAAATTCCAAACTACGCACAAGAGCTGTAAGTTACAAAACTCGACTAAAATATATTATTCAACGTCTATAAAGCCTTCAACTGCTTCAACTTGTCTATCAATTGGTCCACATTCTCATCTTTGACACCAGCTTGCCTTCCTGGTGGCTGCTTGTCATACAAACTTATACTCCGATTGATGTGGAAAGATCTCTTTTAACGGAAGCTCATTTCCATTACACTCCGTATGGATTGCAGCCAACTATGGAGCTCAAATCAGCTCCAACATATTACGAAACAAAACGTCTACAACTGGACTATATCACCAATCCATTAAAGAACTCGTATAATGAGTTGATTGGAATCACTGGTACAACAGAGTCGTCAGATACTGGCATATTGACTCATAAGTCCATCCTCCAGTTGAATGCCGCCTGCAAGACTTTGAAAAGAACGAGAGATGAGCTTGCTTCATACAACCATTTTGACTCTCCAGAGATTCAGGAAAAAATTGGAAGAAGAGAGAGGGAAATGAGACTTGCAGTTTCCAAAATCTTTGATGATCTAGATCATGCACAGCAAAGAATAGACAGTGGCAGCAAATGGTATACAAGAAAGAATGAACAGGTGGAACAATTAAAGTCAATCGGTAGTGGATATGTAACTCACAAAAGGGAGAGGACAGTAAAATAAAAAAAAAAAAAAATAGCTTCAACGAAAAAAAAAAATAGAAGTACAACCATTCTCTATCTTTTCTCACATCTTTAGCCTCATTACAGATGCCTTCTATACCAATCAACTCTAGTATTCTCTTTGTTGGCCAGGTTCCACGTGAATGGGACGAGGAGACTGTCAAGTCGGTTGTTTGTGGGTCAGGAAAAATTGTAGACGTGAGATTAGGATCCGATGGCGATGGTAAAAATAAGGGATACTGCTTTGTTGAATATCAATCCACCCAGGAAGCCCGGAATGCAGCACCCTTGTTGGGCTCGATTTCCATATATGACAATGGGAAAATTAGACACCTCAAGATAGAGGGATCGAAAGAGGCGTTCAAGGGGAGTGGCGTATCTCCCGAACCAAGAAGAATTCTTGCGCTAAGAAGAAACAAGTTACCAAGAAACGTCCAACTACCTTCAGCAATGACAGGGGGAGGAAGCCCCTTTATGGGAAGAGCAAACTCTCCAATACCAAATCAAGGAATGCCAGTACCAACTGCATCCAGTTTCAACCCAAACATACCCGTTAACGGACCAACTGAAACTGTACCCATGAAGTTTACCCAAGCCACCAAGACATTTCCATATGCGCCTACCCTTCCATTTGCGACTCCTGACAACATAAATGCTACGCTAAGTAAGATCCAACCCGCGCAGTTGGTTGAAACCCTCGCCGCTATGAAAAACCTTTTACAAGCTGACCCATCGAAAGCACAAAACCTATCTCAAATGGACCCAGACTTTGCCGTGTGCGCAGCCCAAGTGTTGTTGTTGATGGGGTTTGTTGATAACGAGGTTCTCACCTCCATGTCCACACCGTCTGCATCATCTACACCGCAACCCAGCTCTCAACCGTTGTATCTGCAGCCACAAACTCAGCTAGGAATTCCAACTAATGGAAATTCTCCATACATGGCGCAACTGCAGATGACGGGAGGAGCTGCTGCTGCTGCTGCTGCTGCTGCTGCTGCGTGGCCGAAGTTGCCTATAGAGACGCAAAATGCGTTGCGGAATATGGATGCTGAGACGGCGAAGAAAGCGCTTGAGTTCATAAACATGTCTGAAGAATATTTTAGGAGCTTATCATACCACGAAAAGACCCAGATTAATCAGTTTAGGCAATCGTTGGGAGTACATACGTATCCTGTGTAGAGTAACCTGCCTTGAAGAATAGAGAATAAATATTTGGTACAATTTTTTTGTTTTTTCTTCTTCCTTTTTGCTCTCCTTCACAGTCTAACCTTTTAGCCACATTTCAAAATTGTAACAAGCAATAATGGACTCGCCTATGGTTATTGACTTTGACGTTTCAAACGGAGATACCAGCAACATTCCCTTTTGGTTGCGTGATGTGTTTGACCGTGCTTTGGATGCGGCTGGGCTTGGTAGTCGTCTGGCTTCGGACGATGCTATTGCCAATCTCGTTAAAGTTGATGCGTCGCAATTAATGGATAAAGAATGTGCCATATGCTATGACAGGTTTCAGACAGAGAAAATAGACATCAAAGAGGTCCCGGAACTGCCTGATGGAGGGAACCATAGGGAGTTATTATCACAGGATAAGGAGTTCAAGTTGAAACTACGAGACACGTATGGCTTACAAATGGAGTCACTAGAGAGGTCAGCAACGTTTACTGATCCTCCATTATTTTTCCCCACTGATGTTGGAGCGAGTTTATATAGCAGGTTCCCACAGCGCAACTTGTCAACGTTTGAAAATGTGACTGTTTATGACCAATTTCCTCGCAACTGTAACGACAGTAAGGAAAGAAAAGAAAGGAAAATAGAGCAATACAAGAAAGAAGGGCACATAGCAGTTAAAATGCCGGAGTGCGGACATGTCTTTGGTCTATCTTGTATCGTTGAGTGGTTAAAAGCACACGTGTCGTGCCCCTTGTGCCGGAAGGAAGTTGAGGCTAGGAGGAATAATCCTGAGGTGTCAAAGAGGGAAGATATAGCGGAGAATGCTGTTGCCAATTATAATACTGAGTCTGAAATCGTTGAGCATTTGATGAACCACTCAACAGATATATTCCGACCATTCAGGCGACCATTTAACCCACGAGTTACTCCGGTGACCGATTCATACATGGACCAGAATTGGGCAACACCCCCTTACCAATCACGTCCCTTGCGATCTAGAGATCCTAGTATTGTATTACCAAAACGATTCCCGTTTCCTGATCCTTTGGCTGGTTCAAGCTTTTCTCGCATGCGGAGGGGGTTTCGAGACTCAAGGCGAGTGAGAAGGACTAGGTCGATGAATGATAATGAAGAGGAACAGGAGTCTAGAAGGAGAAGAAGTGGCTCAAATGAGTCAAGTAGAAGTGCTAGAAGAGTCAATTTTTCTCCTCATACTACCAACATCGACGATTTACACGATTCGAGTGATAGTGATATGCAATAGGGTAAAATATGAGACAACCGATTGTTATTCATTATAAATTGTGTATAGGGTTTTTTCTACATAGCATCATCAGGTCTGTTTTGCTCAATTGGGGCTTTTCTTCCCTTATCTTGCAAACTAGCATATCCTTTGATGTTTTCTCTAACCTCTTCTCTACCCTCTGCCTCTTCCAATTCTATACGCTTTTCGTAAGATAATTCAGCAGCATTTTCAACAGTTTCTCTGGCTTTTTCAGCGATGTCGTCATGTTTGGAACCATTGGTTTTCACTGCTTGTTGGGCTGTTTCAATACCGTCAGCGAGAACTTCTCCCGTCTTCTTGTTTACTGAATCAGCGGCTGATTTAGCCTTGTCTGCAAGATCAGACGGGTTAACAGTCTTTTGAGCACTGTCAATGGTGTCAGCTAAGACTTTGCCAGTCTTTTTGTTGACGGTATCAGCAGCAGACTTGACGGTTTCAGCGGCACTTTGAAATGTAGATTGTGCACCATCTTTGGCGTCTTCGAGGTTTGATTTGGCAGTTTCTTTAGCATCTTGAGCTGCATCCTGTGCATCATCCAATTTGCTGGCGGCTTTTCTTCCACCGTCCAAGTTGATATCTTGAGCTTTGTTTTCCAATTCGCCTTCCTTGCGCTTCTTTTCTTCTAAACCTTTCTTTCCAAACACAGCTTGGGTAGCAGCATCGACGATACCGTAGTTTCTTGAGATGACAACTGGTCTGTGTGCAATTGGTCTAATTGATCTAATAACTGATTGGCGAAACATTGCGAAGTTGTTGTTGTGAAAGGTCGAGAATTAGTTTGACAAATTGGACGGGGAGGAGGATTTTGATTGCTACTTATACTACTCGAGGCAATACACAAAACTGTGTTTGCTACACACATATACACAAAGATATAGCAACAAATCAAAGACCTTGGATTACAAGCACACCGTCGAACTAATTTTCACTAGATCAAAGACATATCAAGTATTCAATACTCTCGGTGCTGTCATTTGCACTATAATTCTCTCTACCGACCAAGAGATATTCATGTCGAGGGTGTTGAGGGTCTTATGAGTAGCAAGTGAGCTATGTCGTCATTATGCATTTTTTAATATTACACAAAAAACACCGGCTAATAGGGTAAAAGTTGTGACCAAACCGCACGAGGGGGGGGGGGGGGGGGTACTGTAAAAATGAAAAGGAAAACTTTTCACAGACACAANGGGGGGGGGGGGGGGGGGGGGGGGATTGCTGTCGGTCCAATGAAGCTAAGCAGACAGAGGAGAGTAGATGGCTTTAAAAGAAATGGAATGACTACCTCACTGTTTGTAAACCACGTAAGGATGAACAATTGAGCGTGAATCAACCCTTCGAACTAAGATGAGTGATTGCAATTCAATGCAGCGTGCTTATTATTGGTCTTTGACTGAGACACACAACGGTAGTAACAAGAGCTGGTCGCGGATAGAAAGGAGGGGTGGGTGTGGGGAACATAAGGCTACAGACTCTTCCATTTCGTATATGCATGCATGAGATTAGTTGGTGTGTGTAATTAACTACACCCAGCCACATTCTGCATGACTAAGTAGTGGAAATGGGGAGAAGAAAAGCTGCAAAAGAACTGTAGACTAAACCAAGGGGTAAAAAATGTCACTTATAAATATGTAGTGCTTCCGCCAAAGCCTGTTTCTTTTCCAAATCTTGAGTCGGTAACATCTCAAAATGTTTCCAAAGCAATTGAAAAGACAGATCCCCTTGGCTACTACTCAACTTCGCAATTACGTTGCCAAACAGCACACCCAGCCCTCAATCAAGCAATGGGCTACAGAGACAGCTTCAACGTTGAATAAAAAAACAGGAGAGATTCTCGCTGAAGGAATTGATGTGGCACAACATTTGAAACATCACAGTGATGCTATTCACAAGGTGCGTGTGGCCGAACGTGGGTACAAGAACTTGAAAGATAAAGGTGAAAAGGTTGAGAGTGAGCAGTGCCGTCCTGACGATGGATTGTGAGGGGCCTGGACCTGGACCTGCACCTATGCTTGCATGAAGTTTGTAGTATATAGTCTTTAACAGGATAATTTAATCTCAATCGAGCAATCGTAGAGCATCTCTACACTTTGAATTACTTTGCGTATTCAAATAATTAAAGAACACTCTACATACTCTTGAACTCCTCTAACATTTGTTCTGGCTTGATGGTTTGAGCAACTGCTGGCGCCGACTCTGCCAGCTTCAATTGTGGTTGCAGTTTTCGCTCAATTACCGTCAAAAAGTTACTCGGCACGTAACCTACTTTTCCTGTCCTGGTTCTAACCTTCCACCATTTGGATTCATTGCCTACAGGATCCTGTTTTGATAAAATTGCCACTAGCTCATTAGGCTTTAATTCAGCTTCCATTTGTGGGTTTTCTGGATTGAATTCGTACAAAGCCTTGGCAAATTGCAAGTTTGATGGGTCAAAGTTTGCACCACCCAATTGTTGTTGCTGTTGTTGCTGGTGCTGCAGCAGCATTTCCATCTTGCGCCTGTTTTGTTCATTAAGCATTTGTATTGCTTTGCTTAGCAAATAAGGAAGACCAATCGATGCAGCAAGGAAGATAAGTAGTGGTTTTAAGGACATTCTGGGTGGTTTATTGCCGTTTGCACCGTTTCTTTTGATTTGGTCCTCCAACTTTTTTTGTTTGGCTTCGAATTTATTGAATTCATTAAAATTTATGCCATTGTTGTAAACTTGTCCCGTTAGTTTGGCAAACAACTTTTTGACAAGCTTAATCAAGGCAAATATTCCAAGCAAAGATCCAAGGGCATTTTTCAAATTACCAAATTGCTCAGCGAGATTGACCATGGTGAAGAACGAAGAATGGGTCGCCATATACGTAGCTTCCAACATTTGTGCAAATCCACCAACTGCTCCAATTATACTCTCTATCAAATGAAATGTCGCTTGTGTACCTTCTCCAAAACCTCCTTGCATCATACCAGGTTGATTATACATTCCACTACCGTAACCTCCGCCATACATCCCAGACCCATACATTCCCAGCCCATACATTCCGGAACCGTAACCCGAACCATACATCCCAGAGCCATAACCTCCATACATACTTGAGCCAAATCCCGATCCATACATACCAGAACCATAGCCAGAGCCATAGCCCGACCCATACATTGATGACCCATAACCAGATGAGCCATAGCCGTTGCCATACGTTGACGACGTCCCATAAGCGTTGTTGTTAGTGTTGTTTCCATATGGCGACGTTTGTGCCATGTTATTGAATTCGTTTGTAAGGGATGTTGGTCGGTCAGGTAAAGATGGATTTGTTGATGTCGCTGTCCCTGCCCCTGTCGCCGTTGTCGCTGAATCCGATATTCCCCCCGGCATAGTTGTAGATTGTTGAGTTGATGCTGCACTGGTGCCCAGTGATACTTCCCAGGGCTTGGTTCTTGGTGCTGATGATGACATGCTGTGTATTATTGGTTCTTGTGATTGATGAGCTAAGTATTGATTGTTTAAGCAAAAGTGGAGTTCAATTCTCTTTTTTTTTTTGTTTTTTTGTTTTTTTTTGTTTTTCTCTTCTGTTGTTTTTAAATTTTTTTTTTTTTTTTTCCTTCTCATTGCTTTCATTTATTTAGATTGACACAGTAATTTCGAATTGATTCAATGTGTACAAAGATTGGCAGGGAATGGGCGGAAGCATGTGGTTGGCACCAACGAGTTATAAGACAATGTGTAGAACTTCCCAACTCTTCTCTTCTTACCCGCTTGTAACAGTTTCTGTTACTCTATATAAGTAGAATACACAAACGGTAACATGAACTAGAAGTGATACAGAGTTTGAAATAGTAGTAACACAGTTCCTTAACAAGCAGCCTTCACGCGGCAGAAAACTCTTCTACCAAATGAACTTCTTCATACGTGGCACCATCACCACGAGAGCCCTTCTCCGACGCTTCTTTATAATACACGTCGCTGCTCTCGCTCCTCGGTTATTTAAAACTTACACAAAATCTTTACCCCATACTCCACCGCCCGCGACGCTTTGTTTTGCAACCACAATATACAACCAAATACATTATACCAATGTTCTGGACTCTACTCTATACACCTTATACATCAAGCAAAACTAGCCCACATCAAGTATCCAAAGAGCACAGTGTATACACCAACACAAGACATGAAGGTGCTTATCCTGACACTCCTCGAATACCTGTCTAGTCATGGTAACGGCTCATTTGAGCTACTCAACCTGTTCAAGTGCAAATACACATCTGTTCCGTAACCTTCCATTGAAATCAACTTCAAGTCACCTCCAAAGTATTGTGCATATAAACGACTAATGGGCAAGCCGTAACCAAATCCAGCCATTGGTGCTTTGAAGCTAGTTTGGCTGTACTCTGGTTCTAATTTGGGTGTTTCATTCACGGTCGTGTACAAGTATGTCCAAATCAAGGGTAAGGACGAACGGGGGATCCCTCCACCTTCGTCCGAGATTTTGATTGCGATATCTTCTGTTCCCTCAGATATGATGACTTTAATTGGTGGGTATTCCAAGTCATTAATGTCAACCTCGTCTAACTTCGTGCCCGGGTGTTCGTCAACATACTTCTGCTTCAATTTTGGGGTGTGGAATTCAATGGTTGCACGTAAGGAGTTTTTCAAAGTCTCAAACAACATGTGGATCAAGTGTCCGGGAACATACATAAAACTGATGTCTTGCTGTGGTGCAACCAACTGTATTTCAGGTGCTTCAAACAACCCATAAAACTCTTCACAGATGTACTTTGCAGTTTCAATGGCGTCCTCAGCAATCTCACCCACATTACAATCAGTGCAAATGACACCAACATAATTCGACCTACCTGGTTTCTTCGTGGTTCCCTCAGCACCGTTGATAAGTTTCAGTAGCCGCTGCTTGGTTGGCGAGTTTTGTGCCATATTCAATGCTAAATGTTGGCCAATCAACATCCGAATTCCAATCCTCGACATGTAGAAGCGGTCAAGAAAAGTTTGAATTTGCGAGTTGACAAAAACAGTTTTGTTTTTAGATTTCCATTCTTGAACTCCTTGAGCCATGGTTGCGACTGTTGCATCATGTCTCTTTTTGATCTTCTCCAACGCTTCAAACACTGTCTTATTGTATGCGTAGACTTCTTTGGGCCATACAATATTCGTAGGACAAGGCAGGAAATAGGTCATGCCATACGTAGGCGATTCACTTCTTATGGTTGTATTTTCTTGGTCGTTTCTCGGTATTCTAGTTTTGCTAACGGTGGGTAGTTTCGTGTGGTCAAGGTTTTGATGGTGATGATGGTGCCGAACCACTATTCCATCATCGCTAAATACATTATTAATAGCTGGGTTATCTTCTTGCACCTCAGAAATCTTGTGAATCTCTTCCTGGATATTCGGTTGGTCGTCCTTATCATCAATCTTGAACCCTTGACTGTTGCCATTATTACTATACAACAATTTTTTCAAATTTTCATCAATCACCGGCTTGGGCAACTCCGTCAACTCTTGGAATGACTGGGCATACCAGTCTTTAACTTTTATGGTGGATGGACTTTCGTTCAATCCCAAGGGTGCATACTCCAAATCCTTCACCTTCTTGGCTAATCTTATCGGTAACTCCTCAACAATAAACTTGGAAGCTAGAAAGATCGATCCCGGTGATGGTGTAGGGCCGAACTGCACCATTTGTCGCAAAGATATTGGCGTTTGGTTGTAAATAGCATATTGGAATATTTTGTCTTTTAAAGCTTTGGTTAATTCCCACCCAGTACCCATTTTGAATTGAGCTCACCTGGCAATATTGAGATATTTTCTGTTTCGTGGTTGAGTGAGGAAAAGTTCGTTCGTGCTAGTTCTTTTTGAAGTGTGCTGATAATATGCTCCAGTGATTTTAGTAGTTTAAATCAAATTATTGGGGTAAGAGTTGTTCGACAGTGGAGAAAGAGAGAGAGAGAGAGAGGGAAAAAGTATCACAATAGTTTTTCAAGAGTCGTGTGCTTTGGTCAACAAAATTGTCTAAGGGCGAAGAGTCGTAGTGTAAACTGAGTAGCAGACGTAGGTGGAACAACCGCAGCATCATGACGACATTGGTTACAAAGAAAGAGAGAGAGATAAAGAGAGAGAGATAGAGAGGGAGAGAGGAAGAAAGAGATAAAAGACGGGCCAGGTTGAGACCCATCCGTTTTCAAGATACTTGTGTTCGTGGTAGTTTTCATCCCGAGGAACTTCTCTAAAACAGGAACTTCTCTAAAACAGGAACTTCTCTAAAACAAACAGACCGGCACAACCATACTAGCCAGACCCGTCTTGAAACATACATTGAGATGGACCTAGCAGCAAATAGCTGCCCTTTTCAGTGTTTTGGCAAGACATGCCCGACAGGTAAAGAAAGTGTCAACGGTAACTGTTCCGAAAAAATTACATAAGTGCTAGTACCTCGGACTTTTGTTCCACCACCCCACGAAAGACGAAAAAAATGAGTAACAAAGATGGAACCAGATTTCATTGGACAGAAACAAAACGTCAGACGACCACAAAAAAGGTTCAGTACTCAATATGTTGCATTTGAATAAAAGACTAAGTAGAGAGTGGGAACTTAAACCAGTCTACTGACAGAACAGGCTAAATGAACAAACAGTACCTGGGTGAATGGAAGTTTGTAGAATAAAGCGAAAAACTTCAATGTTTGTTTGCATGTGAGAGAACAAATAAATTGATTGTAGGAGAAACGGAACTTTTTTTTATTTTTAGTCACAGCACAAAAGGAGGCCAATAATGGCATGACTTTTTGATAAGACCTCTTGAAGCAAGACAGTTACAATCACAAGAGACACACGCGGGTACATATCTTCGTCCCTTTCGGAGGTCATTGCGACCGTAGAGCGGCTTTTGGCCCGAACTACAATTCTTAGAATGTTCGGAAGTTAATGTGCGAATCCTTTGTAAAATATGACGGATACCCGGGAGGACAAACAAATCTTTTTTAAGCTCGGTTTAATTACGATTAAAGACAATGTTACACAATATTTTGCTTCTCTAGTCATTCTAAAGAATGATGAAATGAGTCAGCCTTAACTAAATACTGCATATAGGTTTGATTGACACAAGAATAGAAGAGAAAAAAAATCTGGAGAAACGGAGGAAATCAAATTTCACGACATCCTCAGCTTCAGTATAAATACACCATGATATTTTCTTCAGAGATTGCCGTTACTCTTCCAGTATCTTAACCAACTACTTTATACTTTATACCACTTAACTATTCATATTAATTACAATGGTTGCACAAAGAATTCTCAGCATAAGCAACATTCAAACTGCTGCTAGGCATTGGGTTCCAATTGCTAAACACCAAATCACAAAGTACCCAAAACCACAATCCACTCAACTTATATCAAAGCAATTTTACTCATCAAGGATAAGATGCGTCAACTACAACTACAACAACATCAACGATGTGTCTTTGGTATCCAACGACGACGTCATCAATGCTTCTGCAACCAGCTCCACCAGATCTTCAACCAACGACGATGCCGAACCTTTTGAGCCAACTATTTACTCCTCAGAAGATATACACACTGCTGGTCCAGTTAACAGAGCTTAAATGAGGGGAAGCTGCTTGCAGTTGATTTCTGTATATAACGAATTTGATGATTGTTACGATTAGTTTTTAGTTCTTGAATAAATATAAATGCTAAGAAATAGCGATGGTATTGTAGTTGTCTTTGAGCTAAGGCAAAAGACATCCTTTGTGCTTCTGATAACGAACTCCTGAAATGCGGAGAACAGAGGACAGACTGGACTGTGTGTACTGCTCACTCCCCTCATCAAAACTTACTTTGCAAACGTTCGTCATAGAATGCAACGCACAAAGTTTTTGTGTCACTGCTTATCAATGCTATTGAAGTTAATACAGGGTGGTTTTGGGTTGAGGTGGGTCATCTTGAACAAGCAAATAGAGGAGTTTGGAGTGGTTGCCATGAGTCGACCCAAGCCAACACAATTTAGGAAGAAACAGCTCTGGTGAATAAATGGTAGCGGGATTCAGCAAATCTAAAAAAGAAGCCCACACTTTTACAGGCTCTACACATCCTACAATGAAGATAGCCGTTGGTCAGCTATGTTCGTCGTCAAACATCAAATCCAATCTACGTATCGTGTACAAGATTCTCAACCAAGCCATTGAAAATCACGCTCGCATTCTTTTCCTACCAGAAGCTACTGACTACTTGTCTCAGAATGCAGCTCATTCGCTTGAGTTATCGCAACAAGTCAAGTCTACATTCCTCGCCCCACTACTCAACCACATAAAAGCCCTAAACCAGTCTACTTATGTTTCGATTGGCATTCATTTACCTAACTCCTCCACAACCAAGGTTGAAAACGTCCACTTGTTGATTGATCCAACGGGATCGATTATATCTCGGTATCAGAAACTACACTTGTTTGATGTCGATGTACCCAATGGACCTATTTTGAAAGAATCTAACTCAGTTGAACCGGGAAAAGAAGTTGTTAGACCAACTGCAATTGATGACGTTGCCATTATCGGCCTTTCCATCTGCTACGACATCCGATTTCCCGAACTTAGCTTGAGATTGCGCCAACTTGGTGCCAATATCCTAACATTCCCAAGTGCTTTTACAACCAAAACAGGGGAGGCCCATTGGGAAGTGTTGAGCAGGGCTCGTGCTTTGGATTCACAAAGTTTTGTAGTTAATGCAGCTCAATGCGGGTATCATGATGTTGGCACCAATGCTAAAGGAGATGTGATTGAAAGAGTCAGTTATGGTGACTCTATCGTCGTCGATCCATGGGGTACGGTTTTAGCCAGAGCAAGAAAGTTCAATGATGGTGAACTGACTGTTGATGATGATGGTGACTATTATGAGATCATCTATGCGACTTTAGATTTCGACCAGTTACAGAAGATTAGAACAAACATGCCGTTGATAGAGCAACGAAGAGCTGACGTGTTTGGAAAGTGAAACGACAATAGATCCAACAATTTATAAAACAATATTTACCAGCTTAATTTCCTCTATTCACCATGCGTAGTAAATTCTGAACATCATTTAAATCAACCTTGTTCTTCAAGTACTCAATACCTTGGTCGATTGTGTCGCCTCCGATATTCTCCCTTAAATAATCTAGTCCTTCATCAATAATGAGATTTCCCGTTTTCCCACCATTTGCCGCATCTTCCGCAGCTTGCCAATATTCGTGATAGCTTTGCTCTTGACCTTTGGCGAAGGACCCCATTGTGGTTTTGCCAATACTATAAAACATTGATGCAAAACTTTGAATTCGAGGGATGTCAAAGTTGTAAAAAGTTTCCCAACCTCTTACTGATATAGCATATGCCAAGACAACGAATGACACAACCATTATCAGCTTGATAAGACTTACTGTGAACCTTATCCATGCTCTGGCCGATTTAACAAGTAGCGAGTACACAATGTACCCAGCAATGACTGTAAACACGATATTTGTGTACTCAGGATATCTCTCATGAGCAGCAACAGCAAAGCCTATGAGAGTTGCAAGGACCCGTTGGAGCACTTTAACAGCAAATGCGAGTACATCAGTGACCTCCATTGCAAACTTTGGTGAGGTTTTGGTGAATCTTGTTTTGCTGGAGAATTTCAAATTAACTTTGACGTGGAGAACGAGAAATATTGCTGCATCCACGCACACCCGTACTTTATACACAGTAATACACTACCCTCTGCAAAAACTTTTCACTTTAAATATTTCTTCTTTGTTTTTTTGTTGGTTTTTTTTTTTTTTCACTCCTCTTCTTCTTCTTCTTTTTATTCTTTAGAAAGTTGCACACCGAAAAATTTGGCAATAAGTTCAGTTACTTGGTATGACAGGTTGGTTGGAATAGTCTCGTCTTTGATTTGGACTCAGTGTCCAATGAAGGGAGCTTGAGTTTCGCTATAAGATTGCCCGTCTCGCCTATTAAGTTAGGGGGATACTATTGATCTTGAGATTTAGGTCAGAGCTGTTTTGGTTCTAGCTTTTGTTCATGCTGTTGACTTATTGTTGATTACATTTCGGTCAGATCAAAGTGGTTAAAAAGAATATTTAAAAGGTAGGAAACTTTTGAGTATCCCGTTATATCACAACATTTTCTCACCAAAGATTTGTAGATTTTCTTATCAATGCGGCTGTGTAGACATTTGTTTTTGAGCGAATTAAACAGTAATGCTGGGGACTGTAGAGTTTGCGCATTACAACGTGGTTTGCTTGATTTAGCTTACAGCGGTGATGGTTCTCTCCAGACCAATCCAAGTCCTACGACTTTACTAATGTCGTGTGTTTACTTTTCGATAATCTCCCCGACAGAGGGGGTCTTCTTTTATCATGACAGAGGGAAGAAAAAAAAAAAAAAAAAAAAAAAAAAAATTAGAAACACTCGCTCCTTCTAATCAAAGAATAGCAAAGGTCGAGATTCATCACATTCCTTTCCTTGCAGCGCCCTTTACATACAAGTCACAATCTCTTTATTTAACAGAGAGGAGTCAATTACATAAATCACTCTTTTTTTGCCAACGTTTACCAGTTATAAATTAGAGACATCGTTTCACTACACAGTAGCATGTTTAGAAAGAAACCCGCTCAGGTTACTTTGGAGGAGCTCGAACAAACATACAACGACTGTTGTAATGAGACAATAAAGAACTTGACATTGGAAGAGGAAAATGACGTTGACGAGGCATTGAAAGGATGGAAAAGTCTACATACTACTTTACTATACAAGTTGGATCTTTTCGACAAATACAGCGCCAAATTGGAGCCACAGGAGAAAACCATATTGGACAATCTAAAAGGAATACGTGATGAAAATGTCAAACATTTGATAAGGGTTCAGCTCAGGCTAGACGAAAAGAATCGAAAACTGAAACGGGAAGCAAATGGTGTAACACCACCTGTGCCACCACCACCAAGAGGTGCCAGAGACAAGAGTGTGCCATCATTGAGGGTATCACTGCCATCCAACTCCTTTGGAAGTTCAGCATCTCTGCTGAGGCCTTTAATGAGATCGTTGCGTAGCAGCGCAAGTAAAGGAAGCAGCGTTCCGAGCTCCAGACTAGCAAAAGAATCAGTCCAACAGGCTTCCCAAGCAGCGTCAAAGTCATGGCAGAAGCCAAATAAATACAAATTTGACATGTCTGCTTCACCCAAAGTTGAAGTATCGAGCTACTTTGCTGACTTTGATCAGGACACATATACTGCAAGAGGTGATAATTGGGAAAAAGTTGACTCGTCAAGATCTTCATCAGGGTTGTCAGAAAATTACGAAGAGCCCAACTTAATAGACATGGACGACACTACTGAGCCAAAAGACGTATACCGATCTATGGATGATTTGACAATAAAAATGGTTTCAGAAAGTCCTCAGAAACCAACTCAATCAAGAAATGACAAGGGAGGTATTCCCGAGCATATTTCAAAGAGCACCACCGATGTGCGTCCAAAGCCCAAGGGCCCATATACGTACAACAAACCAAAGCCATTGAATCTACACAAGTTGATGCAGCAACTGAAAAAACCCACACTGACATCATCTTCGCAAGCTAAGCCAAAGCCGACGATAACCTATAACTACGTCAAGCCTAAAACCACGCAAGTGAAGTCACGACCAGCAACCAATGGAGCAACCAATGGAGCAACCAATGGAGCTTCGAAGAAAGCTGTACCCCCGAAGCAAGGGCCAGAGGAAGAGAAGGAATCGATCAATAGCCCTACTATGGATGATTTGCTAAGTGGTTATGACGGGGACAAATTTGCACCTGTGGCAGATCCTGTACATTCGTTAACGACAGAGAAGGAGCAGGACGCTTTAATTGCATCTGTACGCGGACTCGATCCAATTGCAGCGAAGAACATTCTTAATGACGTTGTTGTTCGCGGAGATGAGGTTTACTGGGATGATATAGTTGGCTTGGAAGGTGCCAAAAACTCATTGAAAGAAGCCGTGGTGTATCCATTTTTGCGGCCAGATTTATTCAAAGGTTTGAGGGAACCGACAAGGGGGATGTTACTTTTTGGTCCACCAGGGACAGGGAAGACAATGTTGGCTAGAGCAGTTGCAACGGAATCACAGTCGACATTTTTCAGTATCAGCTCTTCATCATTAACCTCAAAGTATTTGGGTGAGTCAGAGAAACTTGTCAAGGCATTGTTCCTCTTGGCAAGAAAGTTGGCACCTTCGATTGTGTTTATGGATGAGATTGATTCGATTTTGTCTTCGAGATCCGATGGTGAAAACGAAAGTACTAGACGTATCAAGAATGAGTTCCTTGTTCAGTGGTCTGAACTATCCAGTGCTGCTGCCGGGCGTGATTCCGGGGAAGATGTATCGCGTGTACTTATTCTCGGAGCCACAAACTTGCCATGGTCTATTGACGAAGCAGCAAGGAGGAGATTTGTGCGTCGACAATACATTCCCTTGCCGGAGGCAGAAGCGAGGAAACACCAAATTATGAAGTTGTTACAGTATCAGAAGAATACGTTGTCGGATGAAGATTATGACAAGTTGATTCAATTGACTGAAGGGTTCAGTGGTAGTGATATTACGGCATTGGCAAAAGATTCAGCGATGGGTCCATTAAGATCTTTAGGCGACAAGTTGTTGCTGACACCCACTGATCAGATAAGGCCTATCAGTTTGCAGGATTTTGAAAACAGTTTAAAATATATCAGGCCAAGTGTGTCGAAAGAAGGGCTTCAAGAATATGAAGATTGGGCAGAGAAATTTGGCTCAAGTGGTGCGTAATGTGGATACAAGTGACGATATAAAATAAGCAGGACACGCTTGAGGGAAAAGGGTATCATGATTGCAATCCAGTTATTTCGTGGTGCAGTTGTAACGACTTACATACAAATCCTAATATAATGAAAATGCATTTAATTGTTGTAAAAATACCTCTCGGCTATTAATGTTTCACAAGTTCGTGCAGCTCACAAATGCCGAACTGTTCTTCGCTAACTGTTTTTTATTTTCTTTTTTAACAAGGCGCAACAAGTATTGAAAGTGTAATCTCTTGTGACAATATCTCCGCTTGAAGCTGGTTCTGGATTTCATGTTCCTTTTATGGCACAGAATCTGCAATCAAGATGCAGGGCTGCAAATTGCAAAACTGACTTGCATGACCCCAAGAACAGCTTTGGTGAAATATGGTACTTACCACTTTTGCGTTATCTTAATGCTCTATCATGTTGAGTAGCCTCTGCCGATAATCTGTTAACAAGATTTACCACTCGAATCTAAATTTAGAAACAGCCCTCTCGGAAAAAATTCGCACCATTTAGGCGCGTAATTAATGATATAAGCGAAATGCCTGACAACACCGTAAGCAAAAGAGTAATTACAAAACTAACCGTTAAAACTAATACGATTCAAATTCTTTAGATATGAGTTTGCTTTCTCTATAAAGCCAGGCTTGGCGTGCGGGCTTTACCGGGTGAACTTGTCTTCTGTGGCTCCGTTAAAAAAAAAAAGAAAAAAAAATAATAAACGTGGTTTGGCTTTCTAGTTTGGTCAATACTGTTGCTGGTTATGATACTTATTATTTATTCAATCTTAATCTTTTGACTATGTATTGTTATGTAAACAATAAGGCACACAATTTATGGAAATTATAAACATTCCACTTTGGATCACAGAACACATGGATCAGTGTTCATAACCTGTGGCTTCTGTTGCTCTATCTCAATCTTAGTTGCTTAGGGTTTTTTTTCCGCTCGTTTCGCCGGTTCTACGCAGACACCTATTGTTTTTTTTTTATTTTTTTATTTTTTATTCTTTATTCTTTTTTCTTCTCAAGTCTAGAACACAATTTTGCGCTAAGGCGTAAAAAATTAGCGAATGTCCTCTTTGTTCATTACATCAAAAGCCATTGATTTGAATAGAAATAATTGCTGACTTGGTGCATTTGTATGACGACAAGGTGTAGCTGGAGCGGCTCTTATGTCTCTGGAGTTGTGAAAGTTTTTTTTTTTGAACCTCGGCTCAACTTCAAACTCCTTAAGCTAGCCGATTTGTGTTGTACTCAATTTGGAGTCAGAAATGGGGAATATGACATGTACTGAATTGGTGAATATTAATCTGAGAAGGGCGGACAGTACATGTTCGAAAGGTAGCCCCTATAGCCAGCTTCAATAATACAGTGAGAGAGGAATGGCCAGGTTTCTGTAACTCCTTCATCTTCAGATCTCACACACACATCCAAACTATATCCTCACTTGATAATTACGGTGGTTATGACCAAAAAGCATTTGGCATATGGCATAATTTCAAACAATTTCAAAAGTACGATAATGTATACCCTTGGGGGTGGGTTTTGTGTCAGCCGACGGACTTAAAGTATATAAGATTTAGGTCGATTGAAACGGGTAGGAAATGCCAGTAAATTTCTGTAGGACCGGAAAGTACCGCGCTTAACTTACAAGTAGAGTAAATATTACGCAATTTGTTGATTTGCAATGCTCTTTTTTCAAGATTACATGCATATGTAGACCAGGCAAGTTCAGGGATAGTTCAGATTATGAGCCGAATATTTTTTGTATGCATGAATTGAACTAATGCTTCTATTATCTTTAATTAGAATCTAGGGTTTGTGGCACATAAGAATTGACTTTCTTATTTGTGTAACATTGCATGCAGAAACAAAGAAATAGAGAAAAAAGTAGCCAAAGAAAAAAAAAAAAAAAAAACCAAAAAAAATTAAATGTTTTATTTATTTTAGACTGCATTCAAACCTTCATCCTCTTATTACCACTTTTGTTACCTTCTGTGACATTTATTACTACTACATTTTCAGTTTTGTATTATTTCATATGAACTGTATACGTCTAAAGAAGAAAAAAACAAAAAAAAAAAAAAAAAAATTCAATTAAAAATAAAAATAGGTGACGTTATATCATAGAAAAGGTCAATAAATATATATATGAGAAGCTCAGTGGAAGCTTCTTGAAAAGTAAGCTGTGCCTATGTCCTGCAATCAATTCATTTGCGGTTTTTTTTCCAATTTCGTGAATTATTGAAGCTTCTCACACTTCATTAAACCTATTTCACGCAGAGCGCCGTTCGACAGACTAAGACCACTCACCACTAGTGCAAAATTTAGTGTCACTATCCGCTCGCTTCGTATTGCCCAAAAAGACAATCTTTCAAATTTTCAGTCCAAAGTTATTTATTAGGTACTTCACATATCGTTCATATTCAAGTATTCTCATTCGATAAACAAACACACTACATTCACTACAAAGTCTAAAAAAAAAAGTCACTCATTTGCAACTCAATTGATCGGGCTATGATAACTTTAATGGGGAATAAAGACATTTTCAAACCTTCTACGTACCCAAAAAGAAAACGCAAGAATGAACAGGCGGGAATAGCGAAACCGAGAAGCTTGAGATACAAACCATCAACAGAAGCACTAAATTTGATAACAAAACAAACCAATTTACCCGAGGCCATTCAAAGCGAGTCGGATACTTCATTACAGTCAATCTCAAATCAGGATGACAGCAAATTAGATGTGTCTTTTACCTCCAGAACGTCCCAGGACAGAACTGCTACTACGGAGAAGCTGGCCCCTGATTTGCCATCGAGTCTGAATCTGAATCTGAATCTGAATCTGACATTTGTACCAGAACGAGAAGCGCTGCCCATCTTACCACATATAAATATGGGACGAAGCTTGACTCTTCCCTCAAGGCACGTCAAAAGTGAACTAGATATTCGTGATTCAGATATACTACAGGCAACTGCAACCAGTCAACAAACTATTCCAAGTTTGTCTACACATCAACCGACGCAGACGCATCATCCACTGCAACACACACATACAATGAATCCAACTTACCAACACCAGCAGAATGTCCAGTATTATTTTCATTCTCCCCAACACCAACTGAATCAATCGTTTCAACTGGCGTCTATTCTTGAAGGAGGACCCTACCGTCCTTCTCTAATCCCACTACAACAAATGCCGGGTGCCTATATTCCCAACCAAGAGTTATATCTTTTTAATCAACAGCACCATCCACCACCACATCATCTGCTACCACAACAACAGTATACTCCGATGAACATGGCGAGCTACTATCAGTATCCTGCACCCTCACTGTCACAAATGGTTCAACCTCCACAGCAGATGTACTACAACGTGCTACCGTATTCAGTTACAGATCCCCCATACGCTAATATGCACGGGATGCCAAGAAAATCCAAACAGTCTTCTACATGGTCGGCCGACGAAGACAAAGTATTGAGAGAATTGAAAGAGGTACAGAAATTAGGGTGGAGAGAAATTTCTTCCTTCTTCCAAGACCGTACACCAAATGCTTGTCAATTTAGATGGAGAAGGATCATTAGCAACTTGGATGCGAATTCAAGAGTACCGAGCTCAGAAGCGTTCGATAGGGAAAAAGTACTGAATTCTTCATCAACTAGTGTTACCCAGATAGCCATTCAAGAAGAGCTTCAATCTCCATATGTCGTACCTGCATCACACAGTCGTGGCAACACTGACGATGACAAAGATGAAGTTGCCGACAAGGAAAGTCAAAAACTGTCCAACAAGATTGACTTTTTACTAAATTAAATAACCCTTGCACCTTGCATGAGAAACAAATACTCTACACAGATAAACTAATAAACCTATTCCTCAATTTTTGGTCGGAAATGTAGAAAGATAGCTCTATTACATGGACTGGTTTTGAACCTCGTCTAAATAAATACAGCAAAATACAATGGTCATCATTTACTTGTTTCCCGCCCCATCAATAGCAGAAATTTCCTACGCATTCCTAAACTTCAAACTCATCATTCGTCTTCGTGGTTAATTTTAAACCCGGTTATTTAGGTGGTTTTCTCTTTTGGAAGGCAGATTTATTGACAAACCTCCCCTCCCCCCCCCCCCCCCC